TTTGTACAGAATACGTGAGTTCTTTTCCTTGACTATGAATCAATTTGAATTGCCTATAGTGAAATCTCTAATTCTACTCATGGTTCATTGTTTGAGTTCTCTGCGAATGGATTGAGATTGATGCAAATATGTACGCTTTCCTTTGATTGCCAATGTGTTCAGTGCATGTTCAGCTCTTTTCAAGTCGTCATGGTTCTTTTCAAGTTGAACTTTAAATGTGTTCCTCTTTGATGTCACTTGTACGAAGTGCATATGCGTCTCCAGAGTTCATGTTCCTTTCTGAGTACTCATTAGACAGAACAAGTGCATTATACTTGAAAAGGTATTGATCCTTGTAAACTTAGATAAACTAGTAGCAACAACATGATCATTCAAAGTTGGTTTACAAATTTCACTAATTGAATTTGAATCACAAAACACGTTCTCAAGCATTTGATTTATCTTAGAAAAAGTTTGAACCATAGCACATTCTGTTTCAGTTCTAGACAACTTCAAAGGTTTGCTACACAGAGAATCTCTTAAAGAAGGGTTCCATTCACAAAACTCATCAGACAGAAATCCTTTTGGTTTAAAAAGCTTTTCATTTATGAGTGTTTCAAAAGTTGGAACTATTTTGTCAAAAACAGATTTAGAAACACAAAATTCTCTTACATTTTCTAAACCAAAACGTTTTTCATCTTGAGCAGAAATCAACATAAACAAATTAGGTTCAGTCCTAAGCAAATCGATTTCCTTACAGTGCTTTCTTGGGTAGTCGCAAGGAAATGGCATAAGGGGTGGTTCTGGCTGATAGCTAGTTGATTGCTCCATGTCCATAATCGATGGGAAACATCTTTGTGCATTTGCTGGTGAATTTTCTTCAAGAACCTGTGAAAAAGAATCAATACTACTCGGTTGCACCGGTTTGAAAAGGATTAGTTTTTCACAAGCTTGATTACTTTCAAGCACATTAGATTTTTCAGAAGGAAAATCACACTTATCTTTCACAGATTTAGAAGGAAGAGCAC